TACGTTGGGTAAGGGCAAACCAACCTGTTATATGTAATGAACAGAAACAAATGTTCCTTTTATAACAGAAAATAATTCAGTACAGTTATCCCATGAATACATAAAAGACACAGTCTGTGTCTTTTATTTCTCCATGGCTATCTAGATATTAACCCTAACCGCAGAGCATATTGTTTGGCTTACAGTACTCAGTACTACAAAATACTAAGTAATAGCCTGAGCCTGAAGAACCTAGTGCTCCAAATTACTACTTCTGGCTAGGTTACTCCCATTGTTACTCGTACAGAGAACAATAAAGCCATACATACATAGTGCCAGAGCACTGTGTGGTACATGTACATTGTCTTTTCTATTGTATTTTATGGCTTCAGAGAACAATACAGTCATGTCCTCTTACAAGCCACTGCACTGATTACTACATTTTACAACAAGTAGTAGATTGTAGTATTATGTAGGGTTAATCCTCAAGGACATACATGTACATGGACACCACCACATGTTGCACTCACTTCCGGTCGTGCTATTTAGTATTTAGCCTCATGAAGCATCACACACGCAAGTAAGTGTCAACAATGTCATGAGTGTTACTAATTTTAAAATACCCTCTAAACATTTGAGCATGAATTTATAATATTTGTGACCCAGTACATTGTAACCAGGAATAAGTTGCTGAGGCCGTTTTACTTAATGGCCGAGTAAGGTGGGGATGTAAGTAAATGTTCAAAAATCGATGTGGCGACTTCTTATTATTATTAAATGAATTTATTAAGCGCAAATTCTATTCAAAAACATTCAAATGAGCTGTACAACCAATAACAGAAAAATAAACATGTGTAATGTAAAATTTCATCAGAATTCAAAAGACACAAAATAACTAAAAACATTAGTTTACGATTACACACAGATATTAAAACAAAATAAATTAATTACACAGATACAGCAGGACATTAAAGCCGTCACAGACAGACAGAAGAGTGATAACCAATAAAATTCGTTTAAATACTGACAAAAACACATCACAGCTCAAAAGTGATCCTAAACAGGTGAGCTTTTAGCAGTGCCTTAAAATGGTCTAAACCTGTGGCATTTCACACCTGAACTGGGAGTTGATCCCACAGATAAGGGGCAGCATGCAAAAAGGACTCATCACCGAGTCAGGTCCTATAACTTGTACTACGAATGGATGGAATACCGTTACTCTGGTCAGAACTGCGAAGACAGAAGCGAGACTCAGTACAAACAGTGATGAGCTGTGACAAGTATTCAGGACAGTCACCATGGAGTGTTTTGACGACCAGAAGTATGATTTTGAAAACAATTCTTGACTTACATGTACAATGTAACTAGGAGACCAGGCTGAAATTGGCACGAAATTTGGGCCGGCTTTTTTGGCTGGCCTAATTTTCGGCTGCACGCTATTTTTACGGCTGCAAGCAACCCTTCACATAACCGGCTAAAATTCTACGGAGGCCGATCACGGCATAGCAGAAAGAGCCCTTAAACGTCCATAAAAAATTACAGGATAAAACAATGTTTAAATGAATCCTTCGCTGGAATGTAACTTAGCTATGAAACAACGTGACCAACTGAGAATTTTTTTCACCAACAGGAAAAACAGACCGTAATGTGTACGAAAACACACTAAGCCTTCGTGGAAAATGGATGAGGGCGCTAATACAGACAATGATGAACCCAAAATAATACCTTCGCGAACCGAATCGCAAAGTTGTATACTGTCAATTTTTCTTCTATTAAGGAAGTTGTTGGCACATGAGCTCAGAAGTTTGTAAAGACGCATGGAATTTAGAAGCAGGAAAATAAAAGAGTGCCGGAATTTACAAAGTGTGAAACACGAAAAGGCAAAAATCGAAATCGCTTTATAATTTTGATTTCAGGACTCAACGCATCCGATTAGGAACAAAAACGGGAATGTAGATTTCTGGGCTGATGTTTGTTTTCAAACGATTTTCTACCATCCTAGATTGCAAAAAAGTATGCTTTTCTCTTCAGGAATGAGTGTAAGGGGACCCCCGGGCACACGTAATTAGCGCCCCGAATAATTCGGCCAACAGGCTGTCTCAGCCCAATTGATTTCAGGAGTGGAACGCACCCGATTAGGAAGAAAGACGGGGAAAATCGGTTTTTGGGCCGATGTCCGTTTTCAAACGATTTTTTACCGTCTTAGATTTCAAAAAAGTGCAGTTTTCTCTTCAGGAATGTGTAAGGGGGACCCCTGGGCACACTTAATTAGCGCCCCGAATGATTCGGCCGATAGGCGAGTGCGTCACGTTCAACTGCGTTGACTCTTGAAACCAATTGGGCTGAGACAGCCTGTTGGCCGAATCATTCGGGGCGCGGATTAAGTGCGCCCAGGGGCCCCCCATACACATTCTTGAAGAGAAAAGCATACTTTTTTTGCAATCAAGGATGGTACAAAATCGTTTGAAAACAAACATCAGCCCAGAAATCTACATTCCTGTTTTTGTTCCTAATCAGTGCCTTGACTCCTGAAATCAATATCATAGAGAGATTTCGATTTTTGTGTTTTCATGTTTCACACTTTCTAAATAGTTTCTGGCACTCTTTTATATTTCTGCGATTAAATTCCATGCGTCTTTAGAAATCAGCGAGTTCATGTGCCTCCAACTTCCTTAATGGAAGAGAAATTGACAGTATACAAATTGCGAATCGGTTCGCGGAGGCATTTATTTTTTTAATGGGCCATCATTGTCTGTACTAGCGCCCTCATCCATTTTGCACGAAGGCATAGTGTTTTTTCGTACACATTCCGTCTGTGTTTCCTGTTGGTAAAAAAATTCTCAATTGTTCACGTTGTTTCATAGTTAAGATACATTCCAGCGAAGGATTTATTGAAAAATTGCTTTTTTTCTGTAATTTGTTTGTGGACGTTTATGGGCTCTTTCTGCTATGCCGTGATCGGCCTCCGTAGAATTTCTACCCGGTTACGTGAATGGTTGCTAGTAGCCGTAAAAATAGCGTGCAGCCGAAAATCAGGCCAGTCGAAAATCAGGCCCGAAGTCCTTGCCTATTTCAGCCTGGGTTCGTCCATGGGCACGGATGACGATGAGCTGTTGTCTTAGAAATCGACCAAGAATGTATGTTTAGCTCATGTTCCAGGAATTTCCAGGGAAATAAAACCATGTTCGGAGAAAACGTGGTCCAGTTTCTTGAAATTTGTGCCCTTTTGGAAAGATCTTATTGGAAACCAGGCCGATGTTGCGAACGCGTTTGCCCGTACGCATGCCAACTGCACGGACTACACCAGTGCAATGCCAGATCGTGGTGGATTTTCCCCCTGCATGCTACCGATATTTTACTGATTTATCGAAAGTACGACGAGCTGAGGCTTCAAAACAGAGACGGCAGTTAGCCAATGAATCTTCTCTATCGACAGGTGAGTTTGAAGTAGGCCTGTGATGCTTCTTATCATATTTATGCTATCCAGTCGCTGGCCATTAACGCTATAAAAGTAACAGTACTGCTCGGGCCCGCATAAAACATGTATGATGTACGTTGTAGGCCTTACGTAAAATTTCTGATTGGTACAACTGAATACGCCCAGAGCTGCCAACCCTTCCGGATTTACTACATTCCTTCCTGGAGTCAGGCATCATCACACAATAGATTCAAAGGTATGTGAGCTAGCAGCCTTTGGAGCACTGCAAAGTGTCAGTTAATGAAAGTTGGAGCACACCACAGTACATGTCGCTCCTTTATTATATGCAAAAAAAGATGGTGGTCTTGTAATGCATTCCACCTCACAATACAACTTTCTTACTAAATGCAAACAAATTGGTGTCAATGCGCATCTTTTGCTGCCTTTTTTATTTGTAAACAAAGCTCTTGTGTATTGTTCTTGTTTTGTTCATGGCCCTTTTTTCAGATTTTCCCCAGTGTTCAACTACAAGAACATCCACCCTTACAGACACAACCAAGACATCAGACTCAAGACTGTTGCTCTCAGGCTCGATCATTGCAAAACAGCCATTGGCAGCTTCTCACATCCTCCTGGAAATCTGTATCATATGTGGAAAAACCAAGTCTTGCAGGGATTCTTGGGGGAGAAAACAGAAAGAGCCGTTGGTCCTCTGTGAGCAGGTTGATGGTGGCAAACTATTGAGAGCTGCAAGAGACAAGAATGCAAGGCAAATCTTGATTCAAATTGAAGACAGGGACTGCGTATCATTGGAAGTTAGATATCACCGCAGTTGCTTCAGAGCCTTCACCGTCTATCTCACAAGAAAAGAAGCACCTGTTGAAAAGGAGCAGTTGTATGCTAAGTCATTTGATGTGTTCTGTAATAACACCATAGAACAGAAGGTCATAAAGGACAAGAATATTTACCGGCTAACAGCACTTAGGATGAGCCACCTGTGAAACGAATGAATGTGCAGCTGGAGAGACCAAGAGAGATCAGTATGCAACAGCCTTAGATCTGTGGAAGGAAATTATGAATGCTAATAGTACTGCTCCATGGCCACCAACATCAGCAGACCTCAACCTAAATACTTCACGACGAGTTGTGCCAGTAAAACTGTACAACTTCATTGCTTGGCTTGTTGGTGCATCTATAGAGCCGGAAGAAGAAGAGCATGTGAAGACAGGCAACGGTGAAGACCGCAGAATCTTAGCCATTGCACATTAATATTACACACAAGCCTAGTGCATGCATTAGCATGAATGAGTGTTTCAGTATTGGCTCCTGTTAAGTACTTCCTAATAGATCTAATGTTATGCAGGAAGTAGAATGCAGACTTACATGTTTTAACCACATGATCACTCATGGACAAGTTAACATCAAACCATGCCCCCAAATTCCGTGCAAGAGTAGCAGGTCTTACTAGAGATTGTCCAACCTGAACCTCATCAATCTTAACTTTAGCTAGTTGCTGACGAGTACCAATGACCAAGAATTCTGAATTTGCTGTCATTAAGGAACAGGCCACTTGCTGACATCCAAGAAAGTAAATCCTTTATACATGATTCCATAACAGATAAAGCTGACACTTGATTTCTAGCTACACAAGGTGAAAATGAAATATAAAGCTGTGTGTCATCCGCGTAACAATAGACCTGAAGATTATGGGATTTTACAATGTCAAACAGTTCATTTATAGATAAAATAAATAGCAAGGGGCCCAAACAGGAACCTTGTGGAACACCCCATACAAGGTCATGCTTATCCGACAGTGTGTTAATTAATACATGCTGAGATCTCACAGACAAGTATGACTTTAACCATTCAAGAACAATGTCGTCAACTCCGAACTTCTTTCTCAGAATGCTCAAGAGAACACTGTGACCAAGTGTGTCAAAAGCAGAGCTTAAATCAAGCAAAAACAAGTAAAGTAACCTGTTTATTGTTCATAGCCAGTAGTAAGTCTTTTTTTACCCTCAGTAACGCAGTTTCAGTACTATGAAACTTCCGATATGCTTACTGAAATATAGGGAACAGATTATGCAAAGTAAGATACAATTGCAACTGATCACAAACAATTTTCTTAAGTATCTTCGAGATAAACTCCTTTATATTTTGAAGTGTATGTATGAAAGGTTACCATCAACACACTTAAAATGTATACCATTCGAAATGTTATGAAATTCTCTTTCTGGCCCTGTACATATCTCAAATGTCAATTTGCGACTTGCTTGTATTCCTGATTTCAATGTACCGGATCACATTTTTGAGACTCCAACAACTGCCACAATGAAAAGAAATACATGTAGCAAATTTGCTTCCAGATTCTTACAGCTGGTAGTGTGAAGTTAGTTACTTATTTCTCGTTCGACATTCAGTGTTGAACAAGTAACTGTTTAATATTCAGTGCTGAAAACATTCAGTGAGCGTTAAGGATGCACATCCCTAGAAACGATGGAGTGCAAAAGAGACAAAAAATCAAACTGTGTCACCTACATTTGAGAGCTTGTTTGACCCCAAAAATGTGGGAATTGTAAATTTTGCCCCCCCTAGTTAGTTTTACTAAAAGGTCGGTCCTGAAAAAGAGTATTTACTCAGGCATCGTACCCTGAAGGTATTGTAATGAATATGCATAGTTAAACCAGTCACGCGAGTCCATCATGAATTCACGTGCAGCTGCCCAACTGCTGCCCATACTTGCAGGCAGTCTTGCATGCAGTGCCAACCAGTGAGATTATCTTGTACTTCTTTCCATGTGTGACGGGTGTGACGGTTAACAAATATATCCACTTGACAAGCTTGTTATGATCAGGCGAACATTAACAGCACAAAGAGCACGGTTTAATCTGTCCAAAACAAATATGCAAAAATTGACTTTAAACAGTTGGAAATTATAAGTATAAATCAACAACAATTTTGTTCATAATTGAAGTTAAGCAATCATAACTAATCACACAGTATCTGGCAATTAACAGGATCGATGACATTAACCTTGATCCACATATACATTTTACACTGCACGTATTAAACCTAAAGTGACATGTAATCGACCCCAATACACATTGTAAATTGTCCCAATTATGTTACTTGTGCATGTGTTTTTTCCCAAAATAAATGCCTTAAACATATCCCACAACCCAGAGAATGTCTATAATAACCAAATAAAGGAATTACAAATGACAAGTTATGCATATTTCACTTACGACTTTGGGATGACGTGGTAACGAAACACGAAATATGGCGACTGCAAAGCGTGACCGGGAAGTTCCTTTCTAGGATAGGAAGCGACTTAATACTAGCCCGTGAAGTTCGGAAGCGACTTAATACTAGCCCGTGAAACCTGGTGCGCTACTTTTTTTCAGTAGCTGGGGTGACAAATGATTCGTGAAGATTACAGTACAATTGTAACAGCGCCCTCTATCATTGAAATCTAACAAACAATAAATTTACCTATTAAGGAGCATTCTGACTTAACACCATGTGAATGCTGTTGCAAGGCTCACTTAACTGCCGTATCACACTAATACTGCTGTCCCGTTGACTGTACTACACCTACATGTATTTGGGTTAGGCCTTCCTTTTGAGGGGATTGTCAATTTGTCAAACTATGTCATTGTCGTCTTATCTAGTTTGGCGACTCTGAAAGCTTAAATCTAGGCCTACTGGCCTAATTCTTCCTCCTCTCGCTCTTTGCACGCTGCTGCCATGGGCATGGCAGAGCTTCAATCTGGCAGCTTTACACACTAAATTAGAGCTGTTTTGTTAGATAGTTATTTTGGGCGTGCTGCATTAGTTCTTATTCCATGCGACTGGACAATAGTTCAAAAAGCTGCACCGACACGATTCCGACGTGACTGTGTAAGCTGCCAGTTCGAGGCTCTGCACGCTAGTATGGTGGCAGCGTGCTAAGAGCGAATGTACAAACTGACGAATGCCGAAAAACTCCATGCCCTGGGTTGCCTTTGTGGGAGAGAGTTGTGTGTAGTCCTACATAATACTTGGTTCCTATACACTGCTACATCAAAAACTCAAAAGTCACTACTCTGTCACACTCCACGTGACTTAGAGCCGACACTAGCTCTATTGAGTGGAGCCATAGTAACAGTATTTCCTCTTTTTCGAATTTTAGACGGGATCCGTCACAATAAAAACTGTCAACTAGCAACAGACCATCCACACACCATCAAAACACGTTCAAAATCAAAGAAGGCGCACTCGACTGTAAAGTGTTTGCTAAAAGGATGTTTTTGGCTAAACCTCGACAGGTTAGACTCGGGAAAGTTGCCATTTTAATTTGGCTGAATCGCCTCCTTCGAACCAACTCAGAAATAAGCAGCCATGTTGCCTCTGGGGCAACCAGGACCATACCATTACGCTAGAGGGCTGGTGACATCATATCCATTCATTCATTGCTGATTTACATGTATTATTAAAAGCAGTCAAAGGGTGAATTGCTGAGATTTTTACAATTAGACATTAAAATACAAGAATTACAATATTAACACAGGGTTAAATTATCGCACACAGCCAAAAAAAGACACTCCGATCAACAGAGGTGGGCACGTGCACAACCCATCCGGGACTCACGGCCGGAAAGCGGTCATTGGCACACAGTAGAGACCCACAAAAACATTACAGAGTTGTTTTAAATAAAGGCAAGAGTGTAAGATAGGGTTAATTACAATTATTTAAAAGTTAAGTAAAATAAGGTATGGGATTTTTGTTAAATCATTCTGTTCTACAACGATGTGCATATGATTGTGAGCATTGTTCTGAGTTTCGTAGTTGATAAGCACTCGTAACAGCAAAGGGGAGGTGCTTTTCAACTGAGAGTTGGGTATTTTTGCAATTGACATGCACAGTTTCTGTCCACGTTCCTGCAATGTATCTAGCTCAAGCGTTTGGAGAGCGTTTCTGTAAGAGTCATATTCCAAACCAAGTACATGCCCGCTTCTGTACCCGCTCTAGGTCCTGGGCAATGTTTGTCAGTGATTTCACTGGTCCAAACGGGCACTGCGTATTGTACAACAGGGTGCACAAATGAAACGAAAACAGTAACCAAATCTTTGGTGATGAGGTGAAAGTGCTTCAATTTACGCACCATGAAAGGTCGTGAATTACCGCGTCTGATCATTGAGTAAACTTGTGTATCCCATTTAAGATCTGATTAGATGAATACGCCTAACAATTTAACTATGTTGCTGTGTTTGATGGTGACATCCTTCAGGCATAGTAAACTTAGCGCTGATCTGACTCGTGAAAAACAGACGTCCAAAATCTGACACTTAGATGGGTTTAACTGCATCTTATTTCTGATAGACCAGTCATGTACATGTAAGTCAGGACCTTAGGGAGGTTGGATCTTGCATTCACAGCCCGTGTTTCTGCCAAGGTCAGATCATCTACGTATTTGAAATGTTGAAGACTGGTCCCTATATTGGCCTCATTAAAGCTACATGTACATGTAATATCATTAACAGTGGCTAAAAAAAACTACAGGTGCCAATTTAGTACCCTGTGGAACACCAGCACAAACAGGTGACCAATACGAATAGGAATGACCATACCTCACACGATAGACACGATCAGACAGAAAGTCAGCAACCCAAGCTCTACCGTACAATAGAGGAGGAAACCCCCATGTTCAAAAACTTGGTGATAGCTGTGGTGTGGCCGACTCGATCGAATGCCTTAGAAAAAGTTGTGGATATTGCGACCACCTCTAGTACCGCGGCGCTGTTTACAAATATTCCACAGTTTTATCCGTTGAAATATGTTTGGATGTAGTCTAAAATTGCTGCGATCCATGCTTCGCCGAAGGGTAAAAAGGTTGATCCCTGGAATAAATCAGTCTTGGTATTTGTGAGTTTTCAGTGTTTTGAAGTAAGGAGTGACCATCAAATGCAACGCTTGTGGGACAGGGATTCAGTTGAACATTCATAAAAATAGTTATTGTAAATAGTTATATGATAAAGAAACAACGCTTTTTCCGTTTAAGTTACTATATTTAATTTTTTCTTAAGATTAAATTGTCCCTTTTTGTATTTTGACAATAATTGTGTAAAATAAAATCTATGTTGTTTTTACTATATTGATTTTTACTTCGTATAAAGTATTTTAAAGAGGAGGGGTCATGTAGGGTTAAACTGACGTTATATGATAGTTTTCATCCGTCCCATGTACAATAAGTTGGATTAACCTCTCTTTTATGTCATTAAATCGGCAAAATTTGACATTTTATGTGTATTTTTTTAGTCTCCGCCTGGGCTCTTCGCAAAAACTTATAAAAATCGGTCAATGAGGGCAGCAGACCAATCTTGGCAAATAATGTGTTGTCATTGGATATACTCGATTTTCCAGACGGGAATGCATATCTCTGGCAAGAAAGTTGATCGGTCCGCGCAAGAACAATAATCTCTGTCTGGCGCGTAAGTAGTAGGGTTTGGACAGTTCTGGAGCACCTCCCCTTTCACCCCCTTTCACCCTCTTTCCATCACCCGCACCGGGATTTCCCACTTCACTCATTTTGACCTTTTGGCCCCGGCGCACTTTTTGTCAGCAACTGGCGACGTGCGCTGGCCTGCACAGACTCTCGCACAAACAACCTAGACCTTTGGCCCCGCGTCACCGCCCAAAGACACCTGCCAACACGACATATTTGAAATGGACGAAAGATATGTATGCCGATATTGTGGTCCAATTTTGGGTGGGTTCCTTCATATACCCCTGAAGCGATGGTAGATAGATACTACAATAATCTCGTTTGGGAAAAAAACCCTCCACAAAAATCAGAGAAGACTTTGAGAGAACTTAATATTGAATTACCCAGTGATCAATCGCGTTGCATAGAATATGTGTTAAATCGAGTTTTAGATGGTAGGCGAGCAGACGTTTAAATTAGAAAATCAAATCGACAATTTAAAAGGCGATAAAAAAAATAAAAGTCAGAAAAGTAAGCTTTCGCTCCGATTACTTTAACATAACAAAATCCACCGAAATCGAATGGCAAACTCAAATAGAAGGAAGCCCCACAGAAAGAGCTGACTCACCGGTATCTGATATTAACACGGACATTATAGAAACACTTGACCTGATAGTACCGTTTTCAGAATTGCAGATGGATACTTTGGTTCTGTTTTACGACGTAATAAGAGACTACATTGGAGCTTACGAAGCGGATACTATAGAAGAATTCAGTGTCTCAATTAGTCAAAAAATAAATGACCTTGAGAATCAAATCAGAATGTTAACGAATAAACGTTAGGGATCAGACAAAGAGACAGAAAACGCGTTAATTTATTTAATATTTTTAAATCGAGGTCAAGTTGATACTTCCAAAGAAGCTCGCCGCATCGCTTTAGAATTTATTCAAGAGGGATTTTTAGGCGACGACAACGAAGAAAGAACGAGAACGTCCGAGCGGGTCAAACGGAACCCAGGCCTACTCTTTTAGTCACGGTTTCTGGTTCAATAGCCCCGGTGATGCATCGATTGCACAAGAGAGAAACACGGACGGATTTTTTACAAGGTGGTGAACAGGGAAATGTAATTATTCCTCCGGGGTTACAACGTGTCTTGGTTTGATTTTATCTT